TAGGTGAGGGGGAGGAAGGCAGCAAATCACACTGCCACGTGTATACATATGCAACAATCTTGCATGTTCTTCACATGTACCCCAAAACCTAAAATGCAATAAAAATAAAAATTAAAAAACATCACCATCATTTATGCCCTCTTTTTCTCTCTGAAGGCCTAGCACCTTTAAGAGGGCTCTAAATACAGGGTGACCAGCTCTTACGTGAGTTTCCTGGATGATCCTTTTTAAACTAATTTTGCTGGAGGTTCCCTGCAGTTCCTGTAGTTCCCTGTTCCAACATGCAAACTGTGCTTTGCGGGGAGGGCAATCCCCTAGACACTCCCACTCAGCCCAGTGGGTAAATAAATACCCAGTAGTGGGATTGCTGGATTGAATGACAGTTCTACTTTTATTTCTTTAAGCAATCTCCATATTGTTTTCCTTCCCACCAGCAATGGAAAATTGTTCTTTTTTTCACCATATCCATGCAAGCATCTATTATTTTTGGATTTTTAAATTATGGCCATTCTTATAATGGTAAAATGGTATCACACTGTGATCTTATTTTAACTCTTAGAGAAAAGACTCCTTTCTCTCAACTCTAGGCTCATTTCTATGTGATTTACATGGGGGGATTATAGGAATAGATCCATTCTGTTGCTCCTCTAGAAGAAAATCTAGGAAAAACAGTAGTGTTCTGTTGTATGCCTTGCATGTGGCACCATTCATCATAAACTGGCAATAAACCACCTTTCTTAAGAAGTTTCTGTTTAGGCTGTGAAAACTGTGCTTTTTGAAACTATCATGTAAGAACTTAGCTAAGTCCTGAAGAACTGTCAGGAAACTGTTCTTGGAAATCATGTATTCTATCTTCTACCTGCTTATGTTTGCATAGTGAATGCTGTGGAAATGCAGCTTTGAATCTGTATTCTGAAGAAAATAGCATCTCTCCAATGGTTGAACTTGAAAAGCAATTTAATAAAGTAACTAAGCTATTAGTCATACAGCAAGTTCATATATTTGAAATGCAGCTATTTTCATTGTAATCCAAGTAAAATAAAATCATTGTAAAATATTTTGATTTACCATCAAAAAGCTAAATATTTCAGGATAAGTGGAAAGCTGGGGTTAATTAAGAGTTAAAAATATTTATACTACTCATTGTTTAAATGTGAAGTTGTTTAGCACATGTAGGATTATGTCCTGTATTTTCCTTCCATCCATAACAACCAATTTCATATTCCCAGTTCTAGAAATATTTGTTACTTTGTTAATTTTTTTTGTAATTGCAGATTTCAAGAAATATTGGACTTAACACTAAGTTAACTATGATACATCTATCCTGGAGTGAATTCAATTCAGTAATTATGATTTCCCATTTTAGGCTATGCCTTTGGAGTATATATTTTATGTAAAACAATAATATTAACCATGCCACCATTTGACTGAAAATTATCTAGTTTCTTTCTTATGAGTCTTCCTCACTAGAAAATGACTCTGTAATCTGTATAAAATTTCTTCCATCCACATACTAGTGTGTTACTGTTGACATATTACAATTTCCAAAGAGAAAAAGATGAATCATTTGTTTTGGCTAAAGTTCAAACCACTTGGTAAAATTAGTAGGAAACTCTTCTGGCAACTGCCAAAACCACTTTCAGTGCTGTATTTTTCCTCCCAACATCTGTCAGGTATAGTTTTTCTTAGCTCTAAAACATTGTTTGAGTAATGATGTCCTACTTCCTACTGAAAAGGAAAAAAGAAAGCAAACTTCTACCTTATTTGTCAGCTTCCTACTTAAAACCATGCTTCCAGCCTATTGATTTGTGGAATGAATCAGTTTTTTCTTGTTTAATTGAAGCATAATATGTATGCGATCAGAGAAATTATCTAGTCCCATTTTCTCATTTAATAGATTTGCAGAATTGTGGCAAAATGGATGTTCACTGACAACCATGGTCACCTTTTATGATTTTTTTGTCCTTTTGTTTTTATTTTAAACATTTACTAAGTCAGAAGTTGTCATTTCTTTGAGAAGTTATAGGTAAGTAAACAAATTGAAAAAAAATTATCAGTATGAGTTGAGAAGCCAGTTCATCTAAAATGAAGTAGAAAGATGGGGTAAGAAGATCCCCTTCCTAATTGGAAGTAGGCTGGCTTGGGAAGTTTAACTGTGTACATTACATAAATAAATTCTACTAGTTGAGTTCCATTTATAGTTACCTTTTTACTATAGAAAAAACAGGTTTTTCTTTGAACTGGAAATCCTGCTTGCGATCTACATTCTCTACTCAACCATGACTGGAACTAGATAAAGGCTCTATAATCATGCCAACATTTCCTGGTGACTTCACTTTCTAGTTCATGTTTCTAATTGAACAGATGAAGAGATCTGTTTTAATGCGATGCTTTGGCATTTTGCATTTATTTTGTTTAACAGTTTGTCACATAGTGCTTTTCACCAGAGGCAAGTTAGTTGGTAAAACTTGATGCATTAAAGATAATCAGTCATTCATTTAACAAATATCTACTGACAACAGCTTTGTGCCAGGTAAAGTCGTATGCTGAGTGTCGTGGATTCAGAGCTAAAAGCCAGTGAGCTCAGCCTGGAGAGTAGACTGACAGGCAGGTGATTCCACTGTGGTGTGGCATGTATTACCTCTGTGGACACTCAAGAGGGTTCCAAACCACCTAACCCCATTGGAGATAACAGGGAAGGCTTTCTGTAGGATTCAGCAGCTAAGCTGACTTTTAAAGGCTTCATAAAGAGCAAGCCAGGTGAAAGAAAAGGAGTGCTCCAGAAAGTTGGCAGCCTGTGAAGAGACTGATGAACCTTTTGGGAGCTTGTTAAGAGCAAGAACAGTTGGAAAGGAAGAAGGAGGCAGACCACATGGAGCAAACTGGGTCTTATTTTGAAAGCTTTTTGAAACCACAGGATTCATGTAAGCATGCAAGTGGCAAAATATAATTTGTAATTTTGAAAGCTCCCTCTAGCTGATGCAGGGAGAATGGTTTGAAAGGTCAAGAGGAAGGAGAAGGAACTCATGCTTAAGGCTGAGAGAAAGAAATGATTTTAAGAAATAAAAAAAACAATGTTTTGAAATTTTCCTTGTAGAGTTCTTTCACCTCCTTGATTAGGTATATTCCTAAGTATTTTAATTTTTTGCAGCTATCGTAAAAGGGGATGAGTTTTTGATTTGATTCTCCGCTTGGTCACTGTTGGCATGTAGAAGAGCTACTGATTTGTGTACATTAACTTAGTATCGGAAACTTTGCTGAATTCTTTCATCAGTTCTAGGAGCTTTCTGGAGGAGTTTTTAGGGTTTTCTAAGTAAATGATCATATCACCAACAAACAGGGACAGTTTGATCTTTTTTTTTTTTTTCTGATTTGGATGCTCTTTCTTTCTTTCTCTTGTCTGATTACTCTGGCTAGGACTTCTGGTAAGAGTGGGCATCTTTGTCTTGTTCCAGTTCTCAAAGGGAATGCTTTCAACTTTTCCTCATTCAGTATTACATTGACTATGAGTTTGTCATAGATGGCTTTTATTATATTGAAATATGTTCCTTGTATGCCCATTTTGCTGAGAGTTTTAATCATAACTGGACACAATATTTGTCTTTCTGTTCCTGGTCTATGTTACTTAGCGTAATACCCTCCAAGTTAATTCATGTTGTTGCAAATGTCAAAATTTCCTTCTTTTTAAAGGCTGAATAATATTTCCTTGTGCATACATACATAGTATATGTGTATCATATATATGCTAAATTGTGGGTGTACACATATATATACACACACAATGGAATACTATTTAGCCTTTTTAAAAGTGAATATAGAAAAATATCATATATATCACATGTTCTTTATCCATTCATTCATTGATGGAAGCTTAGATTTGCTTCATATCTTGACTATTGTGAATAATACTGAAGTGAACATGGAAATGCAGGTATCTCTTCAAAACACTGATTTCATGCCCAGAAGCGGGATTGTTGGATCATATGGTAGTTGTGTTTTTAATTTTTTGAGGAACCTCCATACTGTTGCCCATAATGGCTGTATTATTCACATTCTCACCAATAGTGTAGCAGGGTCCCCATTCTCCACAAGCTTAATAACACTTATGTCTTTACTTTTTGCTGTTGGTGTTGAGACAGAGTCTCACTCTGCCGCCAGGCTGAAGTTCAATGGCGTGATCTCAGCTCACTGCAACCTCCAACTCCCTGGTTCAAGTGATTATCTTGCCTCAGCCTGCTGAGTAGCTGTACTCAGGTGCATGCCACCATGCCCAGCTAAGTTTTGTATTTTTAGTAGACACAGAGTTTCACCATGTTGCCCAGGATGGTCTCGATCACTTAACTTTGTGATCTGCTCACTTCAGCCTCCCAAAGTGCTGGGATTACAGGTGTGAGCCACTACACCCAGCCATCTCTTTACTTTTCGATAATAGTCAAACTAACAACTGTGAGGTGGTATCTCATTGTGGTTTTGACTTGCATTTCCCTGATGGTTAGTGCTGTTGACCACATTTTTATATACCTGTTGACCATTTGTATGTCCTCTTTGGAAAAAATGTATATTTCAATCTTTTGCCCATTTTTAAATCAGGTTTGTTTTTCTGCTATTATGTGAGTTCCTAAAATATTTTAGATATTAACCACTTATTAGATATATAGTTTACAAATATTTTCTTCTATTCTGCCGGCTGACTTTTCATTTTATTCCCTTTGCATTGCAGAAAGTTTTAATGTAGGCAATAATGTTATGTCAGCCAGAACTAGACTCATATATTGTACAATTTCAATTTTGGGGAAGCGCCAGCGTGGGGAGTAGTTGTAGGCTAACATTACTGGTGATAACTAAAAGTTAACTTAATACAGAACAGGTCATTTTGATGACTGATGGTAGTTCTATCAAGTTTTAAGTGGTAATGGTAGCATTTGTGGTTGCAGGTTCAGATGTGTTGACAAAAAGAGTAAACTTTGTAAAATATTTTAAGAGATTTATTCTGAGCCAAATATGAGTGACCATGGCCCATGACATAGCCCTCAGGAGGTTCTGAGAACTTGTGCCCAAGGTGGCCGGGGTACAGCTTGATTTTATATATTTTTAGGGAGGCATGAGACATCAATCAAATACATTTAAGAAATACATTGATTTGGTTCAGAAAGGCGGGGCAACTCAAAGTGGGAGCTTCCAGCCTATAGGTAAATTTAAATATGTTCTGGCTGACAATTGGTTGAGTTTATCTGAAGACCTGAGATCAATGGAAAGGAATGTTCAGGTTAAGATATAGGATTATTGGGACCAAGTTTTATTGTGCAGAGCAATCTCTCAGATCTCAGCCTTCAGAGAGAGAGCAGGTTGTAAAATATTTCTTAACAGACGTAAAAGAGTGCCTGACTTTTTGCTGATTATCTCCTGGATGTGGAAAGAAAGGAAGGAAAACAAAGGGGGAAGGGTTTTCTCTATAGAATGTGGAGTTTTTCCCATGAGAGACTTTGCAGGGCAATTTCAAAGTATGGCAAGAAAATATATCTTGGGATAAAACATTTTGATTTTTTCCCTTGTTATGCTAGAGTCAGGCTGAAAAGTAAGTCACAACATACAGGGTTAAATAAAACCTGTCTGATGAGAATTTATGGTTTGTAGGGCATGATTCTCCAGACCAATTAGAAAGGAATTTGGGCAAGATAAAAAAAATCAGAGCTTAGTCCTAAAATGAATAGGTGGAGATTATACATTGTTGGAAAAGAATGATGAGCATTGTTACTGCAGGCTAAGTAGAAGTTACAATAGTTACAGGTTAAGTGGAAGCGATAGTGGTTGTAGATTCAGTTGAAGAGAATGTAATTATTGATTCAGTCAAAGAAATGGTAGAAGTGGTGATTGTTTGAATTGTCAAGTAAGTTTAAGTTGACGTAGGACTTGATATTGCTGAAATTGTAACAAAGAGCCTGTTACAGTGAGGCAGCCACGGTTCCACTTGAAGTGATAGGAGCAGCTGTTACAGTTGCAAGCTGAGTTGAAGTGGTAGAGGTTGAAGTTTCAGTTGAAGTGATGGCTGTGGCTGTTTAAATTACATATTAACCGGAATTTGTAGTTGTAGGTCTTGTGGAAGTGGTGTCAGTTGTAGCTGTTGACGTAGTTTCAGTGGTTGTAGGTACAGTTGAAGTGGTGGTCACTGTAGGTGGACAAGCAGTAGAGGGTGTTCCAGGTTTGACAGTCACACACTCTCCATTGTTTGTGGACATCTGGATAACAATGGTGGAATTGGCACTTCCTTTGTTATTCACCAAGCATATTATGAGTACCCCAATTGCTGTCATTATCACACAGGCTAAGAGACAAGCCAGGAAGACTTTCCACATAGACCAGTCACTGTGGCAATGTTCTTTTACCTAAGCATGTATATAAAAATATCAGCAAAGAGAAACAAAAATGCTTGTAATTTATCATCTCTTTTATATTACTTATAACTCATTGTATTAACATCATTTAAGTCACTATTTGTCTCTGAAAGTTGGGCTTGAACTCCATGTTTTCAGGCAAATGGAAATAATTGTCTGTTGTCTCTTACATTAGAAGACAAATCTGTAAAATTTCATCTTCTCTTATTCTATTTTCCGTTTGTCTCTTTTCAACGGACTTAATTTTTGTAGAGCAGTTTTAGGTTGACAGCAAAATGAAGCAGGTGATACAGAGATTTCCCACATCCCTCCGCCCTCACACATGTACAGCCTCACCAGTTGTCAACTTCTCCCATCAGAGTAGAATATTTGTTACAATTAATTAACCTACAATGATATGTCATTATTAGAGTCCATGGTTTACTTCAGGGTTCACTCTTGGTGATGTACACTCTATGGGTTTGGACAACTATATAATGACATGTATTTATCATTACAGTATTATGCAAAGTAGTCTCACTGCCCTAAAAATCTTCTGTGTTCCACTTATTCTTTCCTCTCTCACTCCTACCTTTTTTTTTATGTGAGCAGAACAGTACTTTTAAACGGTAAATTCTCTTTCATGCACCTGATTCTCCAATGGACATTGTCATTACAGCAAACTGCTCCATTTCCTCAAGAAATCTGTCCTCTAATCACCATGCTCCCTTCTTCCAGCTTGTTTGTTCCCTGATACCAGCATGATCTTTCTTTAGTCTTATTAAAACCTTTGGTTTGGCAGCCCTTATTTCACTTGGATTCCTCCTTATCCACCTTTTGTTGGGTGGTCCATTATTTCAATAATATTCTTGCTAATTTCCTAGAATCTCTCGAACTTCCTCTTCTGATCCTCTCTAGATGGCAAGTAAATGACTATTTGCTTTCTCTGGACCCTCCCTAGAGCTGCCACACTGTTGGGGAATGTCAAGCCCGTGAGCAGATTAGAACCCATGTAAATGTATGTTTATCAACCTCAAGTGAATTTTCTGTTCTGCTCTATCACCCTACTATATTTCCCTGACTAAAATTCTCTCTCATTTCAAAGTACTTTCTCAATCTTCTACTGTCTCTTCAAATCTGTAATGTCTACCCACCAACCCTTGCACACTAGTTGTCCCTTCTCATTCTCATCAAATGACCACACCTTCCCACTTCATTGAAAAACTCAAAAATACCTTACAGTAACTTTTTCAGACCCCATTAGCTACCAAACCTGCAAACCTCTACACTCCGCCAGAGGTCTGCACTCCACCTCTCCTTTCCTGATTGACACAAGAGAAGCTATACCTCCAACTGACTGAAGCTGATCCCCCAATCTGTCCTTTGGATCCCATCTCCTCTCCCCTTCCCAGCAACATTTCTCTTTTGATTGTCCTTCCTCTCAGAATGAATACTTCACCACTTCCTCTTAAACGGCTCTTCCTTTTATAACATTTAAACCCACTCAGATCTCTCCCATTTCAAACAAAAAAACATCCTTTGATTCCAAATGACCGTCTTGCTATTGCACTTTTCCTCTCTTTCCCTGGAAAATGACATGTCTAGAAAGTTGCCTAAATGCAATATCTCTATTTGCATATCTTTTAAGTCAGTGCTATCTGGCTTCAGCTTCCTTCATGCCACTGAAAAAGTCACCAGTGATATTCATTCATTAGAAGCTCATTGTCGTATTTTAGACTTCATTTTACTTAAGCCCTTAGTAGCATTTGTCATTGGAGCCCATTCCTCCTTGTCTCTTTTGCTTCTGTGTAGTTCCATTCTCATTGGTTTCATCCTAGCTCCCCAGAATCCTCTTCTCAGTTTCTTTTGAAAGCTCACTGTTCATTTTCAGCCTTTACTGTTGACATACCCAGGCCCTTGTCTCTTTTCACTGTAGGTCTGAAATTAATGAAATTTTTCTATAAAGGGTCAGATAGTAAATGTTTCAGCTTTGTGAGCCACACAATTTTTTTTTCTTTCTCCCCAAAAGCTGATGCTCCCTAGGAACAGAGAGGCCATTATGGGGTCAGGTCTGTCATGCAATAGGAGAGTCTTCCTCTGCCTCTCTGAAAACACATCAAGCACACACGTGACCTGTGTGATTAAGCAGAGCTGAGAGGCCAGAGCTGTATAGTCTTTGTTACAGCTACTCCAATTCTGTCATTGCAGTGGCAATGTAGTCACAGACACTGAATAAACAAGTGAGCACAGCTGCACTTCAATGAAATTTTATCTCCAAAAATAGTTGGGGGCTTAGATTTGGTCACTTTATGCTTTCTCTCCAGGATTTCTCATTATATCCATGATTTTAGTTGCCAACCATATCCAAATGACTATGTTTATCCCTCCCCAGTTCAGCCAATCCCTCTAACTTTCAAATGCTTACATGGTACCATATTTTAGATCTCAAAGATGCCTCAAATTCAATGTGTCCAAACCCAAAGTCATGTTCTTCTCAGTGAAACCTGGCCAACTCCCACATCTCACTAAATGGCACCACCATCCATTCCATTCAATGCCATAAACTGGAACAAAGAGATCATCCTAGAAATCTCCCAATTCAGTACCAAGTCCTGTTAACTTTAGTTACTAAATATCTCCCAGTATTATTGACTTTTTCTCCAGCTCTGTTGACCCCTGTCTAGCCCAGCCTTCCTTTATCTCTGCCTTGGACTACTGCAATAGCCTCAGACCCTACTTGTCCCCAGTTTCCTCAAGTGCACCATGCTTACTTCTAAAATAGGACCTTGGCAAAAATTTGTCTGTCAGTCAAGAAGGCCTTTCCAACCTCCATCCTCCATCCTCCATCCAGAACATAGCATGGTTCACCTTCAGCACAGCACTGTTTCCACAGCACCTATTTTAGCACCAGTTCCTGAGCATTGGTCAGTGACTATGTTATTAGGAGAGAAATTGGGCACTATGAGAAGAATGATGCACTAATTTTTCTTAGAGCATCCCCAATTATTTAAGTAATATTGATTGCCAGGTGATGAATCGACTCCTGATAACAACCCTTTATAACTTCCAATCATTCAGCATGTAGGTGGCTACCTGGAATGAAGTATAATGAGAGAGACTCAGAGAATCCACCTGAATGCATTATCTCCATCCCAGGCCTAATATCTGAAATTGTACAATAAAAAAACTCCCTAGTTTTTCATTGCACAACTCCCTAATTTGCACATCAAATTTCCATTGATGTGCATTTTAACAAGGTAAACCAAAGCTCTGCTTATTTTCTCACTATCTTTAACAAAGATTAAAGAGACTATTTACCAGCATAGTTTAAAAGAATAAACACAAAATGTTAGATTAGAGACCCTATTTTGAAATCTACATGCTACCTCAGAAAATTTCTTAGCTTTTTTGAGTTCCTATTTCATTTATGAATTGGTGATAAAAATGGCTTGTGACTTATAGGATTGCCTTAAAATTACAAGAATTGAATTGGTTTATTAATACTGAAAGTATTTTGCAAATATTTGTTGTTACTATTCTTAGACAGGCAATGTGGCATAATAGAAGAGTCCAGTCTTTTTTAAATAGAGAGATATGTTTAATTCCAGAGGTATGAAATCTTAAACAACATCCTTACCTTCTCTGAACCTGAAGTCTCTTATTTTGAAATACAGGGATAAAAATTATCCATCTCATATTGTTGAGAAGATTAAAAATAATATATATAAAGTCACTTGTTTTCAAAAATATTATTTTTATTTTGGATGCAGTATAATATAGGATTTAGAAACAAGGGCTTTGGAGTCCAATCGATTATTTCATTGTTACCTGGCTGAAAGCAAGATCCTAGATCTGAACTATTACAAAATATGGGCCATGGTAGTTGTTTGAAGACTAGGATTTCATGAAAAGCCTGATGACACCAAGACAGCAGTGAAAGAATGAGGACAGTGGTCACCAAGGCCAGGGAAATGAGGGCCACTAAGATCAAGTTACCCCTAGGACAAATAACATCCTTTTTCCTTGATGGGTGGCACCGAAAAGGAGGTTCAAGAAAAGAAAGTGGCAAAAAGGCTTATGTACATCTGGGAGAGGAGTCTATAATACTGCATTACACAAGTTTAAAAGAGCCCTTTAATGAAATAAAATGCACATGATCAGACAAAAGAAAATAAGTTATCCTCCTGTTTTGGCCCCTTCTGGCAAAAACCATGTGAGTTCTAGCAACTCTCTAAACTTTCCGGAGCCATATTTTCCCTAATTGTTAAATAATTTAATGGGACTAGATCAGTCATTCTCATCACTAGTTGTACATTAGATTCATCTGGGTAGTTTTTAAAAACAATTGTTTTCTCCCCCCACCCCCAACTCTTACCCCCCACTCCCTCCACCCCCACCCCCTGCCACCTAGTCCCCAGGTGATTCTAATGTGTAGTCATGTTTAAGAACCACCAGGGGCCAGACACAGTGGTTCACGCTTGAATCCTAGCATTTTGGGAGGTTGAGGCATGTGGATCCCTTGAGCCCAGGAGGTCGAGACCGGCCTGGATTACATGGCAAAACCTTGCCTCTACAAAAAAATACAAAAATGAGTCAGGCATAGTGGCGCATGCATGTGGACCTAGCTACTCAGGAGGCTGAGATGAGGGGATTGATTAAGCCCAGAAGGCTGAAGCTACAGTGAGACGTGATTGTGCCGCTGCACTCCAGCCTAGGTGACAGAGTGAGACCCTGCCTCAAAAAACAAAAAATAAAAATAAAAGAGCCAGCAGACGTAATGCTATTGAAGACCTCCTTCAATTCCATGATTGATATGAATTACTTAACTTCTGCAAACATTTTCTAACTCCATCCTGCTGAGCTGATTTATTCTTTCACATTGTCCCAGAAACCATATAAAAATCATATTGTTTTGTCCAGAATCAAGAAACAAGGCTCAGAGGCTCTCTACTGAGTCTCTATAGCAAGACTAAGCAGCAGAAGGAAGGATTTCCAGAGTCTGGGGAACCCAACCAAACCGTCAAGCCATATCAGTAATTTATAGTCAATGTTAAATTTTTATACAAGGGCTGAAGGATTCAAGATACAGTCATTCAACCTACAGGACATGAGGTTAGGAGCCAAGGAGAGCTGAGTCTGTTCTCCAAAGCTAGTGGAGACACTCCAGAGAACAGTAAGCTTTCTGTGTCAAGATCATATACACCAGAGGCCAGAACCCAGGGAGCTAAAGAAAGTGCCACACACAGGTTCAGAGGCTGCACAGAGTAAGAAAATAAGGTGATCGCCAGTAGAATAGGACCCATGAAACTTTAAATATGACACAGTCTCCCATCAGAGCCTAATGGTGAATTAAACCCTAATACTGTCAACATTCTTATTTATCCACCCATCCCTAAACTTGCATTTATACCTTACACTTATTCCTTTGATTTTCATATATGTTCTCTGTCTATTGTGAATATTTGAGTCCCTAATTAGAACATTAGCTCTTGGAAAACAGAGACTAGCAAATATTTATTTTCTTGTGAATTGTCTCACAGTGACTTGTACCTATACTGAGAATACAGCAAATGCTTAATACAAATGTAAATGAATTAAGTAATTAAATACATTTCTTGGGAAAGAATAGGCAAAGTAAATCCGCATATACAGCACGTCCCAACTTGAACAAAAATGCCTGTGCTAAATATTACCTGTGTGTTACAGGACTCTGACTGTAGACATCTTGAATGTGCAGGGACTCCTGGGCTCACACAGACCCCAGTTAAGTTGGGAGAAACATCACTGGTTATGTCATTTGAAGGTGGACACCAGCGTATGGAACTGTGAGCCTCTTGGTCATTTGGACGTGTGAGTGGCTACAAAGGCAGAGTGGAAGTAATTAGGAAACCTAGGAAGCCATGGCATTGAATCGCTAAAATAAAACTATTCTATCAAACACACGTAAGAGTATGACTTTTAAAAGGAATAAATGTTTTCTTATCCTCTGAAGATAAAAAATCTAGACAGATTATTATACCTTATACTTTAACTAATTTTTGTAAGTTACCAAACTTCTAGTTTAGGAATGTGTATCTTCTTCTTCATGATATTACATCAGTGGCTTGAATATCTTCATGTTGCAAGCTGCTGTATGTGGAGCATGTATTAAGAAGCCTCCATAAGGAAGAGGATGGTAAGCTGAACTTCTTGCATATTATTGGGTACAACCTGTTCAGGTCATTTTGGAAATGAAAATGTTGAAGGAAAAAGAGTTGAAATGTTGCCATCATGACAAACAGCGAGCACTGCAGCTCAGACCTTCCAGTGTTAAGGCCCATGTACTTTCCAGTATACTATACTAGGAATAGAATAGTGTAAAGTACACATTGTTATGCTATACCATGTTATGCTAATATAGTAATGTAGTATAGACTATACTACATGATACTAGTGAAAATTCTTACACAAAATGACTGCTTTACATAATTCATATCATGCTCTATCCAGTGGAGCTTGCGAGCCTATGACAGTGACACAGAAAACAAACCATTTGTCGAATTTGCAGTATGTTTTTGCTGGATTCCTCTTGGGCATAGAGCAGTGTAAAAACAGTCCACAACAATGTTAGTCGCTATTCTCAAGGAGCCTATTTTCCCATGGGGAGGCAAAACAGATTACTGTATAATTAACAAATAAATGCAATAATTGTAAATTCTCATTCAGAAGAAGAGGTGAATAAGGATTGAAAATGACTGAGTTGGCGGGGAAAGATTTTAGGAAAGCGATGTGTTAAAAGATAAAAGAAGTGAAGAATAAGAAAGTGAAAATGAGGGAGGAATAGATTCAAGAATTAATGGATCTTGTGGAAAAGTTTTTTGTTTGGTTTGGTTTGGTTTTGGTTTTGAGATGGGGTCTCTCTCTGTAACCCAGGCTGTAGAGCAATGACACCATCATGGCTCACTGAAACCTCAACCTCCCAAGTCTCAAGCAGTCCTCTCATCTCAGCCTCCTGAGTAGCCATGACTACAGGCATATGTCATTATGTACCTAATTACTTTTTATGTTATTTTTCGTAGTGATGGGGTCTACATATGTTGCCCAGGCTGATCTAGAACTCCTGAGCTCAAGCAGTTCTCTGGCACTACCCTCCCAAAGTGCTGACATTGTATACACAAGCCGCTGTACCCAGCCAAAAGTTTTATTACATATGAAACATAATGTATAATTATTTAAGGCTCTTTATCTCACAGGATGATAATGTTTACTTTCTGCTATGAATCAAGGTGATCTTTGGCCACTCCTCAATCAGCTTCAAAGGAGGAATACTAGAATTACCCACTTACAGATTTGCTCATATGATCACTGAGTAAATAACTGCCACATGCTTGGAGCAATGTCTGGCACATAGTACACACTGAATAGGTGTTAACTATCGTTATTGTTATTAGTAAAAGTTACTACTGCTACTGCTACCAGTTGTCTTTGTGTTGATTTAATAACTCATTACTAATAGTTATAGAAATTACTGGCCAACTAACCAGTGAGTTCTGTGAAAACCGTCAAACCAGAATGTTATGTAATCATTGACCCGTTAGGAATTATCATTAAAAATAGAAAAATATACAATTGTCATTAAATATAGATAAGATGGGATACTCCGGGCAGTAGAAAATTAGCTAAGTTAAATTTTTCTGTTAAGTATAATATCAAAGAAATAGATAACCATCCCATGTTTGTCAATATGAATAAAATTCTACCTACTATTCATTAGGCAAATTTGAAGAAGTTGAATTTACCTTTTGATAATATTCTTGCTTATTTAACTAGGTGCTGATCCTTTTGTTTCTGTTACATCCAATTTGCTTGTGGCTAGTGAACCTGAACTTTTAATCCCCTTTGCAAACAAAGTGAAACTCATTCAGCAGGCCAGTTTCCCAGATTTTTCTGGCTCTGTTAGAATCCCAGTCCTTTCAGAGAGGAAGGTAATAGGTGGGTCTACACGAAGGGTGGCAACCTGTAATCTAGGCCCAGTTTGGAAATAATATTGTAGCCTAAGTAATGATTTTACTGTGTCAGGTTGCCCTGACTCTTAGTACAGGTGGAGTCTCTATTCAAACCTGGAAGAGTTGGAGAGCCGCAGGCACCCGAAATGTATTAGTTATATTTACAAAAAGACACTCTATAAGTTTTATCCCCTAACTTTACAAGGATTAATTTGAGATTTCTTGTATCCCTAACAGAAAAACGAGGACACCAAAATTCATTTTCTATGTGTTTATAATCTTTAAATACTTTTTAAATTCCATTATTGAATTTGACCTGAAGAGAAAAATATTGTTACATCCAGGCCTGAATAATACACTAAAGTAAAATATTTAGTCAGTTATCCAGACATATGCTGTTAAAAAAAGAATAAATGTTTAAGCTAATATTTGTAAACATCTCTACATTTGTTATTATCTAGAGAAACTATCAAGATGATAAATACCTGGCCAAAGAGAATTTTTTTTTCTATCTGAATATTTGGACATCTTGAAGATTCAATTATAGGGTTGCCTGTGCAACTGACCAAGCAAACTTCCAGACGCCAACCCTGGGACTGAAGATCTTGGTTCTTTTGGTGAATTGGAAATCCTCTACAGGATTCTTGTATCAACACTTACTGAGAAACAGGACTTTCTTCTTTGGTTTATCTCATATGTGAGTTATACAGGCTGATTACTACAGCTCCATATGTCAAAAGCAAACTATTTCTTTACACACGTTTCATTCACCTTCAGGCAGTGAATTTTAATTCAGCGTTTTAATTTCCAATACATGTCCTTCCTTTTTTCTGATGTCAAAGATTATTTGGTTGGATATAAATAGATACATAAAATCTGTATAAGATACAGATACATGATTATGATAACTATATACTGAAGGCTTGGTTCTTGGTGTAAAAATATTTTTTAAAAGCAGACAAAATAGTCATATTTTGACACAAAGCAGGTATTTTTGGAAGATTTGTTTCTTAGGAATATTAATATCTATGATTAATATCTGGTTTTTAAGCATATTCAGAAATCTGAGTTCCGACAAGTCTAAAATCTCTAAGCATCAAATTGTAAAACTAGAACTTAATAAATAAATACTGACATCATTGAAGTTTATGTTTACATGAGAGTGAATATAGAAAGTTAAATGGATCTGTTTGTGTATCCTATAGCCATATGGCCATAGAAACATTTCTAATACTTTATATCTATATATATTTAAATTAATACTTAAATATATAACATAGTAAAAAAAGACATAAAAGTTACAGCACAAAAATTGATATAGGGTTGCTCTTTATTTTGGAGAAGAATGCAAAATTATGATCTTGGCTACATTGTAGAGAAGAAATTAAGCTGCTTTTAAACGCCGAAATTGAAACTGTAATATAGGCAAAACTATCAAAACAGAGCAACAACACTCACCGGCTGGTTTATAGAGTGCTCAACGTTCAATACGTATGTTCCATGCTTTCTGTCCATTCTTGAGCTGCCAATATCACAAGCTTCTCTCCAAGAATATTTTTCGATTTGTTCATTGCCCTTTATATCTGCAACCATGAAACAATTAAAACAACTGGCAGAAACCAACGATGACGCATCAGCACAAGCGTGGCTTAAACTAAATACTAGTTATTCACTAAAACAGGATCCACCTTAGAGGAGGGAATGAAATGTTAATTGCAGAAAGATGCAAGAAAACCAGTACTTACTTCTGAGAGTTATTGTGACTACCCACCCTGAAAATTTTACATTATTCTTCTGTCTCTCCTCTTTGGTCCCATCATTCAGGAACTCACCTTTTATTTTAGGACCAACCCCAGAAAAAAAGCTCTGAGATAGAAATTTACCATTGTATACTTTCTACTCAAGCACAAATGCCTCGCTCCCCTTGTTGGCACCATCTGTTAGGTACCCATGACCTAGGACACTTCACCTTTTCAGTCCCTGGTTTGGTGTCTGGAAGTCTCTTTGGTCGGCTGCTCAAACAATTCACACTCATTAAAAACTATTAGAATGAATTTCCTAGGCAGTAATGGCAAAGGAGTGACAAAATATTGAAAATCTTTTTTTATTTTAATCAAAAAATCTCGTTTGTCCTAAATTGTAAAAGAATCAACTCTTATATTGATTTATTCACTCAACAAGTGAGAATATGGAGTTTCAAAAGTGTGCCAGGTATTTTTGTAGTGCAGAAAGTTCCATAATAAACAAAACACTCATATTCTCTTTGTATATGGCATTTTTGGATTCTGAATATTTTTTAAGTTAATCTTTAAAATTTATCTTATAAATGTATTCATTAGCTTCAGCTTGTAAATTTTACTGGATCAACTGAAGTAACACAGCCTCAAGCTGTAGGATATAAAGAGCAGAGGGAGGATCCAAGATGGCCGTTTAGGAACAGCTCAGGATTGCAGCTCCCAGTGGAAGCGCAGAGGGTGAGTAGACATGGCATTTTTATTGCCCACAGACTAGGAAATTCCCAGGCAGAGGAGCTCCACAGGTCACCAGCGCGGCTGTTTTGGCCACCGCAGCTGTGCCGGCCGGCACCACTGCTTTGCCCCGCGCGGCTGCTTTGTCAATGCCCCAGAGCAGCGGTTCTCCGTACAAAATACACCGGTCCGGGTGCCCTTTTGGCTGGCGATTGGAGCCACGGGAAATCGCCCATTCGTCTCTTTTTTTTTTTTTTTTTTTTTTTGAGACGGAGTTTTCGCTCTTGTTACCCAGGCTGGAGTGCAATGGCGCGATCTCGGCTCACCGCAACCTCCGCCTCCTGGGTTCAGGCAATTCTCCTGCCTCAGCCCCCTGAGCAGCTGGGACTACAGGCACGCGCCACCATGCCCAGCTAATTTTTTGTAGTTTTAGTAGAGACAGGGTTTCACCATGTTGACCAGGATGGTCTCGATCTCTTGACCTCGTGATCCACCCGCCTCGGCCTCCCAAAGTGCTGGGATTACAGGCCTGAGCCACAGCGCCCAGCCCATTCGTCTCTTTAAAAAGGGGACTGAGCAGAGAACCAGGACAGTAGATTCCAGGGCCAAAAAAAAAAAAAAAAAAAAAGCGCCACAAACCTCAGTGCCGCTGTTTAAGCCAGCGCAGTGAGTGGCTGCAGGGGAAAACAAACAGACCCCGGCACCTCCTCAACAAGTGACTGGAACACCAACTTAAAAAAGGCTCTGAGGCAGGGAGCCAGGCGATCAGGCTCGCTGGTCCCACCCCCACAAAAGAACAGCAACCAGAAACTCTGGATTGAGAGTTTCACAGCAAGCACAGCTGAACCCGGGACAGTCCAGCTCTGAGGGGGAGGGGCATCCGCCGTTACCGAGGCAGCCCGCCATGATGGAGGTAGTCAGCCAATGCTGAGGCAGCCCACCATTGCCAAGGCAACCCGCCATTGCCGAGGCAGCCCGCCGTTGCCAAGGCAACCTGCCATTGCTGAGGCAGCCCGCCATTGCCAAGGCAAGCCACCACTGCACAGAGACTCCACCTCAACAGAGGCGGGCCACCATCGCCAAAGCAGTTCTAACTACACCCATATAAACAGGACTGCAAGGAAGTTCACTCGGCAGCTGGGTGGAGCCCACAGCAGCTCAGCAAAGCCTCTACAGACAGACAGTGACTAGGCTGCCTCCTTGCTGGGTAGGGCAGCTCTGAAGGAAAAAAAAAAAAAAAAAAAAAAAAGAGAAGGCAGCAGCATAACCGAAACTCATAAAGCCCTAAATCCCTGGGACAGAGCACTGGGAACAAAAAGCAGTTTATGAGTTCTGCTGCAGCAGACCTAAACGTACCTGCCCAGCAGCTCTGAATGAACAACAACAGAGCTCACAGTTCACCATTTGAGCTCCTATAAAGAAGAGACCGTCTCCTCAAGCAGCTCCCTGACCCCTACATATCCAAAGAGAAACCTCATAAAGGAGAAATCAGATTGACACTAGGCGGGTATCCTTCTAGGACAAAGATAGCAGAAGAAGAAAACTGGTAACAACCCTTACTGTTCAGCAGTGCTGCAGGTGAACCCCAGGCAAGCAGGGCCTGGAGTGAACCTCAGCAGACCTACAGCAGAGGGGCCAGACTGTCAGAAGGAAAACCAAGAAACAGAAATAACCTCATCATCAACAAACAGAACGTCAATCTGAAAGATTTAGACCCAATCTGAAAGCCAGCAACTACAAAGTTGACAGGTGGATAAATCCTTAAAGATGGGAAGAAACCAGTGCAAAAAGGATGAAAACACCTGAAACCAGGACACCTCTCCTCCTACAAGGGATCACAACTCCTCACCAGCAAGGGAACAAGGTTGGAGAGAGAACGAGTGTGATGAAATGACAGAATCAGACTTCAGAAGGCGGGTAGTAAGAAACTTCTGTGAACTTAAAAAACATGTTCTAACCAAATGCAAAGAAACTAAGAACCTTGAAAAAAGATTTGACGAAATGCTAACGAGAATGGACAAAATAGAAAGGAATATAAGTGAATTGATGGAGCTGAAAAACGCAACACGAGAACTTCGTGAAGCATGCACAAGTATCAACAGCCGAATTGACCAAGCAGAAGAAAGGATATCAGAGGTCGAAGATCAACTCAATGAAATAAAATGGGAAGGCAAGACTGGAGAAAAAAGGGTAAAAAGGAATGAACAAAATCTCCAAGAAATGTGGGACTATGTGAAAAGACCTAATCTACGTTTGATAGGCGTACCTGAATGCGACGAAGAGAATGAATCCAAGCTGGAAAATACTTTTCAGGATATTATCCAGGAAAACTTCCCCAACCTAGCAAGGCAGGCAAACATTCAAGTCCAGGAAATACAGAGAACACCACAAAGATATTCGTCAAGAAGAGCAACCCCAAGGCACATAATTGTCAGATTCACCAGGGTAGAAATGAAGAAGAAAATACTAAGGGCAGCCAGAGAGAAAGGTCAGGTTACCCACAAAGGGAAGCCTATCAGACTCACAGCAGATCTCTCAGCAGAAACCCTACAAGCCAGAAGAGAGTGGGGGCCAATATTCAACATCCTTAAAGAAAAGAACTTTCAACCCAGAATCTCCTATCCAGCCAAACTAAGCTTCATAAGTGAAGGAAAAATAAAATCCTTTGGGAACGTGCAAGTACTCAGAGATTTCGTCACCACCAGGCCAACTCTACAAGAGCTCCTGAAAGAGGCTCTACACATATAAAGGAACAACAAGTACCAGCTCAACTAAAGGGCAAAACACCCAGCTAGCACCAAAATGGCAGTATCAAATTCGCACATAACAATATTAACCCTAAATGTAAATGGACTAAGTGCCCCAATCAAAAGACACCAACTGGCAAATTGGATAAAAAGCCAAAACCCATCGGGGTGCTATATCCAGGAAACCCATCTCACATGCAAGGATAAACAAAGGCTCAAAATAAAGGGATGAAGGAAGATTTAAGTAAACGGAGAGCAAAAAAAAGCAGGAGTTGCAATTCTCATCTCTGATAAATTAGACTTTAAAGCAACAAAGATCATAAGAGACAAGAAGGACATTACATAATGGTAAAAGGATCAATGCAACAAGAAGAGCTAACGATCCTAAATATATATGCACCCAATACAGGAGCACCCAGATACATAAGGCAAGTTCTTAATGACTTACAAAGAGACTTAGACTCCCACACAATAATAGTGGGAGACTTTAACACCCCACTGTCAACATTAGACAGATCAACCAGACAGAAAATTAACAAGGATATCCAGGACTTGAACTCAGACCTGCACCAAGCAAACCTAAGGAATTGAAAAACTGGGAAAAAATTGTTCTAAAGAGGAGTTTAAAATATGATGATTTGCTACAACATGGATGAACATTGAGGACATTGTGCTAAGTGAAATAAGTCATCACAAAAGACAAATACATAAGATTTCACTTATATAACGTACCTAGATTAGTCAAAAATATAGAGACAGAAGGTAGAGTATTGGTTGCCCAGGGCTGGGAGGAGGGAGAAATGGGGAGTTATTGTTTAATGAATATAGAATTTCAGTTTGGGACAATAAAAAGAGATCTGGAAATGGATGACAGCAATGGTTGCAGAATATTGTGAATGTATTTAATTCCCTGAACTGTATACTTAAAATGATTAAGACGATGAGCTTTGTGTTTTGTGTATTTTACCACAATTTAAAAAGTGAAAAACAAAAACATAAAGACTTAGTCATGTTGAAGCAAAGCAAACAACCAGTGTATAGCCATAGGGTATAGGGACCAACATGTGTTAAAGGTGTCAATAATATTAAAATGACTTTTGAATTACTTTTTGATTAACTTTTTGATTCATTTAAAAATCAGAAGATTATTAAACAAATAATATATATTTAATTGCATATTATTTAAAATATCACTATAATTTTAGTAATATTTTAAATATTCCAGTTTAAAATATCACTAAAATATTTAAAATTTTAAATATTCTAGTTCTAAATGAAATGTTTCTGCAAAAACATTTCATTTAGAACTAGAACAACAGTGGAAGTGAAACTCCATTAATATTGATGGCAACCACACATTACATCAATGCCATACAGAGTGGAAGATTACTCTTGTCACTGGAGTCTCACCCTCACAATCTCTAACTGGCCAAGCAGTTAAAAGACTCAGTCACAAAATTTGGAAGAATATTTTAAAATTTAAAATTAAAAGAAATAGTACCAGAAAAATAAG